AATTCAACAGCAAAAACTGCTTGTAAATCTTGAAAGAAAGCAAAAATTTGATTTATTTTTGAGAAATATGCACAATACTTGAGAACAAATTATTTTTGTGCCATGTATTACCTGTGTAAAATTCCACACACAGTATCATATTGTCTGCAATATATGAAAAGCTTCATCGATGAAATATGATTGAGATATAAGAAAAGTAATATAGTACTTGTAATGAATAACGTTAATGTGGAATACATAAATATTTTATATTTTAATTTCATATAATCAAGATGAGATAAGACACTTATGATTACTTTAAAAATGTGTCCACAAATATCATGTAACTTCAGTAGCTGCAAATTCGTCAAATTAATCCTATTACGTTAAATGAATCACAGCAGCTTGTTTTAATTTAATCTAACCAATTATATTATATGCTTCTCATTAAAATGTGTAAAACTGTACGTCGCACATTTAATACGATTAATATACTACGTAATAAAATGTAATACACTAATGAAATAATTAAATATTATTTTTGAAACCATGATAAAATCCAGACAGCATACGCTTATGTTTACATTCGACATCCAAAGCACTGACAGGTTAGGTTAGATCGAAAAAATTTATCGTTTAACAGTTGGCAGCCCTACGAGATAGGCTGCCCTACGAAATAAATTTGAAATCGCTTCTAGCCTAATCATCTTCACGCGATCGACTTTATTTGAATTGCACGGCATCGCATCGAATTATGATGCGGCGCCGATTTGTTCGAACGTAATTCGAGACATCGCGATGCTGTATAAGCGTCGACTGAGTACGAATTGTCACGCAAATATGATAAATCAAATCTACTCACTCGTTCACCGGCTGTTCCACAGGCCGCTCCACTCGCTCGCCTCAGGACGTCCCATTCCGATCTTGATGCACACAAACTCATACGATATCATCAACGCGAACGCGCGACACTTTATTCGGCACTCCCGATATTCGCTCGCATTCGATAATCATCATCAAGGGCGCAAATAATGCGACGCGACTTCGCTCCATCTTCGCGATCGCGCTATCACTGAATTGTCGAAAACGGCTGTCGCGCACTTTCACTGACATATTATGAAAGTCGCGCGATCATCCTTGGACACTTTCGACGCTCTTTCACTCGCGATATTCGTTTAAAAACGGTTAAAAGACGCGAAAAATGCGGACGTTCGACGATCCGTGTAACTGCGTATGACTCCGAGTCACGTATGACGCGTATGACGTAGCAATGACGCGTATGACGTAGCAGTCACGCGCTAACATGGCGGCCGAACCACTGCGCATTCGTTTCTGCGCGCAACGTTCGCACAACTTTGATTTCTGAAATATTGTTTACGGCTTTAATTAATAGCACATAATGATAAATATATAAAGATGGAATCAATTAATCATATTGGTCATATATGTAGACTTGCCTGAAGAAAGAGAGAAAAAATTGAGAGATATTTTTAATTTTTTTTTTTTTAGTAAAAAATGGAAATATCTATTCATAGGCTTGTTCTTCTTTTCCTCTTTTGTGCAATTTCGATTCAATATATAACGTAGAAAATTCATAGTATATTGCATTTATTTTTATATATTCACAACTATAATATTCGCGCGATCATTTTTTGACATTTACAATACTCGTGTACCTTGTTCTCGATGTTCATTTTTAAAGAAATAAAGAGAATTATATATAAATGTAAATAAATTGTCCGAAGAGAGAAAAAATTGAGGGATATTTTTAGTTTTTTTAGTAAAGGTTGGAAATGTCTATTCATGATAGAAATGCAAAGAAAGAAAATTATTATGTTTAAAATAATAATTTCATATGAAATACAAAATTAAAAGTTACATTATAGAACTTGACTTTCTAAAAGCGTAATAAAACAATCAAATAGTAGACAGAGAAAAGACTAATTGTAAAAGAAAAAAAGTTGTTAACTTAACTAAACCATTTAACTAAATTATTATCTTTTTAACTGGAATATTTAACTATTATAAATCTAACATGACATTTATTTAACTTAAATATTTCAATATTTTAATTAAAAAAATAATAATTTAGTTAAACGGTTTAGTTGAGTTAACAACTTTTTTTTCTCAATGTACGTGTGTGTGTGAGACTTTAATAATATACTTGGATATAAATATACTTATATTATTAAACGATTAATACATCTCGTGAGGTTTAATAAATAATTAAACTGTGTACACTGTTAAGTTGTTAACTTAACTAAACCATTTAACTAAATTATTATCTTTTTAATTGGAATATTTAACTATTATAAATCTAACATGACATTTATTTAACTTAAATATTTCGATATTTCAATTAAAAAAAAAATAATTTAGTTAAACGGTTTAGTCGAGTTAACAACTTTTTTTCTCAATGTACGTGAGTGTGTGTGTGTGTGTGTGTGAGACTTTAAAAATATACTTGTATATAAATACAATTCTCACATACGTCACAGTACGCGTTAAATATTTCGGCAGCGAGCTAACACGTCATTCGATCTTGTGACGTCATTTGGCCTTGTGACGTAGCGCGCTATTGTTTACATACGCGCGACCTCCCCTCATTCGCACGGCGACATTCCAACGGAGAAAGTAGCGATACGGACCGCTCCGTATTATCGAATTCTTTTCTTAAAGGTACGATCGCGATTAAATCGAAATATAATAATTCGACTATTACAAATGACAAATAATTAACTCTTATAATAAATGCAATTGTGGCGACGATAAATTCATCGAAACGCGATCTTTCATTATTGCAAATAAAAATTGAAACGAAAGGGACAAAAATTACAAATTTTCTTGCAATATTCTCCGATTATCGAACTTTACGAATAATAATTATTTCTTTAACATTGCTTAGAATGAAATTCGATTTCGCCCGATGTTTTAAACTTTCCTAAACTGCATGCATATATATCATATTAATTAAACGATTGCTGTATGATCAATTTACATTACTTTAATATTTTAATCTTATGATTCGCGTTATTGTGCATCAACAAATAGAAATAGTTAATTAGTGTAAGAATCGAGTGGTGCATGATTTTGGCTTCGTTTAAAAATCGAGCGAATTATTGTAATTTTTGTGTTCCTCTCTTGCAATAATAATAAAATAATAATAATATTATAAAAATACGTATCTCGTATGATTATTTTGCGATCAGGAGTGCCGTGCAAAGTGTTTCGCGATCGTTTCTGTATATGACTGAAATATAATTAACTGAAATATAATTATTTGTTCGCGAGTGAATACGTGACTGCTACGAGGAAACAACAAAGGATGAAACAACAAAAGAGAAGGACATCTGGAAAAGTATCGGACAGTCAGAAAGCAGGGAGAGAGCCTGAAGCAGCCAGAGACATGCGGTGAGTAATTTATAAAAATTATTTATTATTTATTATTTATATACACTATTTTTAAAATAGATATATTGCTTATTATTTTATTATCGTTTTATTTTTCGATCATTTAAATATATAATTCGGATTGAAATGCAGTAAAACAATCGAATCGTAGATCTAAATAATTAACTTAACAAAAAGATCCATAAAAGATATATTAGTTCTTTTAATAAATAATATCGTATACTTAATCGATATAAAAATGAAATATTATCTATTTATTTCTAAATATTAAATACTATAAATTTAATAGTTACATATTTTGTAAAATTTAATTAAAAGAATCTTTAAGATATTCCAAAAGAAACGAAGAACTTTTCTCAACGTAGAAAAAGTTAATTATAAACAAATTTATATTTAATTATTATAATTAATTTGTATTTAATTTTATTGGAATTTTATTATTAATTTTATTGCATTGTCAAACTCTACGCGATCTCTGTAATGATAGCTATTCACGAAATAGGTACAGTGACATAATCAATTATTATTGAAAAGAGGCAATAATATACTTTTAAATCTAATTTAAACTTTTGATAAACGATATAAAATTTTTTTATTATGATGAGAAATCTTTATTAAAGATCATAATTGCAAATAAAAATGGAAATAACTTCACGAAATATATTAATCGTTTAATAAATAATTAATCCGTGTGTACGTGTACGTGTGTGTGTGAGTGTGTGTGTGACTTTAAAGATGTGTGTTTAATAAATTATTAATCCGTGTGTACGTGTACGTGTGTGTGTGACTTTAAAGATGTGTGTTTAATAAATAATTAATCCGTGTGTACGTGTACGTGTGTGTATGTGTGTGTGTGACTTTAAAGATATACTTGTATATAAATACACTTGTATATAACTTTAAAAATATATATTTCCGTTATGTTAATTATCCGATTTTTATTCGATCGTTTTATTGCGCGTTCTGAATCAAATTATATTTAGATCAAATGATATCAGAGAGAATATTTATTTATTATATTAGAATTCTAAATGTGTGTGTGTGTGTGTACACATATATATTAGGATAGAAACGAAATAGAAATAGAAGAATAATCATTGCTCGTAAAGACTGCAACAAAGTAATAATTTATAATTTTGATTCCTATCGTATAATCGAGTATCGTATTTCGAGAGCAATCAACTATTTATTAATAATAAAATTGTATATAACTTACGAATATATTCCACTTATTCCGGACGTTAATATCGCGACAACGACGAATAAACTTTTCAAAAAAGTTCAATTCAACTATTTCATATATGAGACAGTTCTACCAATCACTGATGACAAAAAATTCGTCAATTGACCAGTTGGTGAAACTGTTTCAGTCCTGAGTATGTTCTTAAAAGAGCTGTTGGCGCACATACATGCGTGTATTATGTTTACGCGCATCACACATTTGAACGAACCTTGACATTCTCGCGGGTAAAGTCACTAGATCGGACGCCATTTTTGCTCCAGCTTATCTTATTGAGATCAAAATTGCGGTACTTTGTTAATCTAGTGACTTTACCAGAACCATAGACGTATAAATATCTAGAGTGAACATGAGGTGGGAAAAGACGGAAGGGGAGGTCTAGAATTTAGACGTAAGAGAACGAATCAAAAAGTTGGCAACTTTCATTGATAAACTATAATATAAACATTATTCTATATCGAAATCAATAAAATTATCATTTCCCTTAATAAAAAAATCTTATATATCTTATATATCTTACTCGCCTAGTCTCTCGGAAAGACTTTGTCGTTTATTCATGAATTTTACATAAATCCATAAACAAACGTGTATCCCAGACAATGGCATGAACGTAAACAGTAGCATACAAATCAATAATTGTAATTTACTTACTTAATTACGCGAGGATAAATGAATAAACATAGCATCGATTTTAATTAAATGTATATAAATAGTTACATCTTTTTAATTTTTCCTCAAATACTACGATGTAATGCTGCGTGTTATACGAAATCGATATACAAGCGATAAGCGATTAAAATTTACATGATTTAAAAGTTGTACAAATTGTGAGTTGCCATACATTTTATGATTCACTGAACCAGTTGCGTGAATATGATAGAAATGATGGAAGACATGGATAATTTGGATGATAAACTACTTAGTAATATATTTAAGAGAAATCCATCTATGGAAGATGCCAAAAAAAGGATTACATTTGCAGGTTTAATTCAATATTAATTAATATATATTATTTAAATCTAATAAAAAAGAAAAATCTTTAATTTGCATACATTTAATAAAATATATTTTATAGATGAGGACGATCCATTAGCTGATTTGTTAGCTGATAAAGATTTTTCATCAGACCGAAAGAATCTAGTAGCAGTAAAAGATAAGAGTATAATAGATGATTTGTTTAATAAAAAGGTTTCCAATGAGTCATTAAGTTTAAAGCCAAGTGAAAAAGAGAATAACTTGACATCTGTATTAAGTACTACTGGAATGGATAAGTCAAAAGCAATAGATGAAAAAGCTAAAAAACTGTCATTGATGCAAGATTTATTTGGAAATACATTGCACATGTCACCATCAAAAGAATCAAATGTTAGTAAAAAATCTGTACAGATTGAACAAGGAATTACACAGCATGCAACTGAAGGACCTAGGATACAATCACAGCACTCAACTTATGCACCAACAGCCTTTGGAACAAGAGAGCCACGTCGAGGCAAAAGAACCTCAGAAATTATTAATGACCCTTTAGGATTATTTTCTTTGAACACAATGTCAAGTCAAATTGAAAAACCTGTAAATATAAGCTTAATATATATACATGTTTGTTTAAAATGATGTATATATATAGTTTAATTCTTTTTCTATATATTTAATTTTTTATTTTACAGGAAGAAAGACATACAGTGTCTGCAGACTCAAGTAAACAAAAAATTGAAACTAAACAATATTTACCAGATTGGTTGGAACCTAAAAAGACAACAGAAGATAAAAATAGCGATTATATTCAAGATAAAATAATGCCTGAAGAATTATTTAGCAGACATAGAAGTTCTGATAAGATTGTTCAAGAAGATGAGACAAGAGTAGCTGAATCACTGCCACATGAGAAAAAAGAATTGACATCATCAGATAATAAAAAAATTGAAATGAATGAATATGAAAAACGAAAAACTGAAGATTATCATAAAGTAAGAGAAAATCCTTTTTTATAAAAAAGATTGTTAATTTTTATTAAATAATATTTATATATATATATAATTTTATACTTGATGCAGTCTAATGCAATAGATAATGCTCCTGATGGTGATAAAAATTCGGAGAATATATTTGATAATTTAATTCATAAAGGTGCAGATTATGAAAACATGATTTATAAATTAGAGTTAGAAAAGTCTCATTTAACTGTAACAATACGTAGTTTAAATGAAAAATATGAAAATGAAATAATGATTCTAGACGAATCATACAAGTAAGTTAAACTTACTTAACAATTAATAATACAAAAAAAAACTTTTCTTTAAAAACTTATTCATATAATTTTTCTTCAGACGGCAAATAGGATTTCTACAAGAAAGAACAGATACATTGGAAAAGAGAATGCAACAGGAGCTTGAATGTTTAGAGACGGATTATGAAGCAAAAATTGAAAAATTAAAAAATGAAAAGATGCAAATTGAAACATTTTATAAGGAAGAAATTCAGAATTTAAAGGTACAATTTTTTTTAACAAAATTATTTTTTTTTTTAAATTATTTGATGAATTATAATCGAAGATCTACTGCTGTTAATATTAATATAATTTCAATTATTATTTTATTTAGAAGGAGCATGCGCAATTTATAGAAGAAATTTACGAACGACATTCTCAAAATACAAGATTGTTGCAAAAAGAACACTTTGATACAATAGAGAATATATTAAAAATGAGAGAGATAGAGAATTTGGCTATGACGACCATAGCAACTCACAAGACTGATATGCAGAATTTATTACAAAAAGCTAACTTTATTATAGAAAATATAAAAACTGTACAAGAAAAGACTGATCATAGAGACGACCAAAGTGTAAAGTTAAGAGAATATTATTTAAAAAGTCAGGAAGAAGATATGCAAAGTATGTTAAAATGTTTAAGATGTTCAAGATTTAGCTAAGTTGTAAATAGTATAATTTTTATTCATTTTGCATGATATTGTTGTAGTACAAAATGTAGAAATAAAGAAGCAACAGGAGTTATTGATGGAAGAACGTGACAAAATAATGAAAGTAGCAGATAGATTAGATTCGCATGTTGCTCAATTGGTGCTTGAATTAGAGAAGAAAAGTACTATGCTTAATGAGGCATTGGAAACTCTAAAAAAAAGAGAACAATCTCTGTCACATGAAAGAGAATTATTTGAAGAAAAAGTACAATGGGAATATAATCATCTACAGGTATTATCTCTAGTATTCTTAAGAATAAAATTATAGAAATTGTATTATTAAAAAAATTTTATCTTTATATATGTATATAATGTTACAAGGCTTTAAAAGAATCTTGGTTTAATGAACAAGAAAAACAATTGAAGCTGTTAACAAAGGAAAAAGAAGTAATTGCAGCTAAAAAGAGGCAATATGAAGTTTTAAAGACAATAAAAACTGATTCGGATAATATTACAAAGATAGAGGTAAAGAAATATAGTTGCAGATATGTAGAAAGCAATTATATTAAGTAAATAAAATATTTTTCAGGCAGCTGCTGCTATAAAAACAGCTCAAGACGCTACTATACTTGCGAATCAAGAACGATTGAAATGGCAAGAAAAAATCAAATATCTTGAAATGCAGCAGCAAACATTACAAGAGAAAGAATACCGGCTGTTAGCACGTGCGAAAGATATTGAAAAGTTTACACAGGTACATGGATAGTCTAAAAAATTACAATATATAATTATAACATATTATAGTTAAACATTAATTATTTCTTAAGGTAGCATTTACGAAAAATGAAGAAGCTGTCAAAGCCTTAAAAGAAGCTCATAACATTGAAAATGAATATAAAACTAAATTTGATTCTAATTCTGGTATATTTGAAAAACTCGATTTAACAAGGTAATGACAATGAAATAATTATAATAATATAGGATACATAATTCAATATTTACATTTTTTAGTGAAAAGTTGGCTTTGACAACTGCTCAATTACAGAAATTAAAAAAAAATAATATTCCATATAGTACAAACAGGCGAACATTGTCTAATCAACAACATGCATTTCAAGTTTCTACTCATTTTACAGTAAGAGAAAAATAATCACGCTCTTAAATAAATTATTAATAGTTTAATAATATAAATTTTATAAGTATATATATATTTTTTTCAGGAGGTTGTAGATCCTCAATTGGTAATGTTAAAATTAAATCTAGATGATCAACTAGATGATATTCAATATATATGACTGCCATGGAATTTTAATATAACATTTAATAAATATGTATCGCATACCTTTGTTTGATATTTTGTGTTCTCTAATGGACAATAAATATTAATATATTATTATATAGTTGTTCCACTATCTGTTGATTCATCACTAATTAAAGTCATGCTTTTGTCTGAAAATAATAATTTTTGGTTACTATATCTCAAGAATTATTAATATTTTTAAAATATAATATATTATTTTTTCTATTATGTGAACACAAAACTATATACATTATTATATACTGAAATATACATTAAAACTTTAATGGTACTTAAGTGTAAAAGTACTGAAAAATTAGACACTATATTACCGTTAGTGTCTATGATGCATTGTTGAAGTTCTGCTATATTTTCTTTCAATGTTTCTAATTGTGCAATATTATGTTTTATTTGATATAATTCATCTTCTACACTTTTGACACATGTTTCCTAAAAAATACAAAATGCAAGATTAGTCTAGATATATTTCCTATATATTTTATATATGAATAATGTTTGACATTTACCACATTGTGAGTAAGCTGCAAAATATCCATATTATTTTCCTTAACATTAGTGAATGCTTTATAAGTATCTCCTATGTTATTCAAGAATTCTATTGCATCGGTGAACATTACTGTCAGGTCTCTGTAAGAAAGTATCCAAGTTTTTACAATATGTAAAAATACTTAAGAAAGGAAGATTCATACATACTGTGCATAATCATGTGGAACAGGTAGGCCTGAAATATTCTTTGAAGATTGTACAAGTTTGTATATAGAATGTTTGTGCCCAGTAATTATACCAAGATGTTTTATAATATTCTCCTTGGATAGTTGTCTTTCCCCTGTGAACAATTTAATATTTACAATGTAATGACGTGACAAACTTCTGTATATATACTTATAGAGAAACAATTACTTCTAATAAAAAATAAAAAATAATAAGGTATGTACTTTTCAAGTCTTGTAACTCTTTCATTAATTTCTTATGTTCGTCAGATGGTTCATCAAGACGTTCCAATTCGCGTTGGTTGACGAGTCTTTTTTGCTGCATAATCTTTATAAAACGTTCTATGTCTTCCATTTCACAAATTTACATGAAAGCAAAAAATACAAATTTGTTAAATAAACTTATGCATCACAAACAGGAGCCTGAATAACAACCAGTTTTTCGCGGAATAAATAAAGTCAAAATCATAGGGATTTTATATATTATACTAACAGAGAGAAGACTGACAGGTGTCATGGCGGTCATGGCCCGCTTTTAAGCCGCAATCACACTAGGCTGCGTTCAGAAATCCTACTCGTAAGGTAGAGTGATATTTAACCTACCAATCGGGATCGAGAAATGTTTGCTCCTTTTGTCGTGATTGGTCAATTTGAAGTTACTTTACCACGCGGGTAGGATTTCTGAACGCGCCTCTACGGGTTGCAGTTGAAATTGACCAACAGAAGGGGCGGCGTGTGGCTAAGACGGCAAAATATATATTTATTATAATAAATATATATTTATTAACAGGCAAAAATTACATGTGACACATAAAATTGAATCTTAAATTATTTATTATTTTCTCTGTTTTTTTTCTTTTTATAATATCCCTTATAGTATCCCTTTTCTTGGGCATAAAATGCACGGCTCCTTTATATTTTATTACTTATATAATAAATAATTTAAAATTCAATTTTGTCACATGTAATATTTGCTTACTTCTATTCATTTTAAAATATTTGAAATAATGAGTTAATAAAAAAAAATTGGAAAAAAAGATACGTTGAGAATTGAACCATGGTTTGTCTCTATTCCGCTATCGCTTTATTCACCTTACTACGCGTAACTTATGACACCTATCAGTCTTCTCTCTATTATAACTTGCCTAGTCTACGTATTTATATTTGACTAGATTATCACGTGGTATAATGTATAATAATCAATATAATACATGTATCGAAATCGACGTTTGTTTATGATAATGTAGATCTTCCCGCTTCCCGGCAGGGGAGCCGGCACGCGTGCCAGACTCCTACATTCACGAGAGAGAGATGAAACCTTGCCCTGTCATCGCACGCTTCCCGGGCGTTCTGCGTTCAGATGAGAATTATTCTTACGCCGTCTCGTGCTAAATTATCATTGTAACGAAATAACGAGGACCAGCGTTTTGACTCTAGTATTGAATTTCTGAAATTTACTCCGTTTTTATCAGAAATGTAACGAGTTTTTTTGGAAAATTATTCTATGAAGATTGTGATAAATTTTAAACCAAAGTTTGCGTCAGCTGTGTAAATAATTGTATTTAAAAACGTTGTATATATGTCGTTTGTATAAGTATAATTCGTACACAATCATTATGTTCGCTTTAATTAATTTGTGCATATGTCTTTACTTATTTCGATTTGCAAGTAGCTCGACATTGACAGCACCTCCTCTGTCAGCTCTAATAATTGCGTTTGAGAGCGTGCACGATTTATCGTTACTTGCTAATACTTTGTCGGATCAAGGAATCGACACGACGTTAATAATACCGTCCTATGCTGCTAATGATCTTTATAATAATCTAATTGATGTTGAAGTATTGCAACTGAATGTTAACTTTGATAAATCGATGTCTGTTGATACTCGTGCGTTAGAAGCCTGCAGTAGTCTCTTCAAAGATGAAGAAATATTAAAAAAGATACAGGAATTTCAATCTACGTTTACCATATTTCCAGCATTAAGGTATATTGATTTTAAGAATATTCAAATTTAATTTTTATTTTTATTTTATAACTCCACTATTCTATATATATGCATATGTATGTGTAAAAAACATTATTAAATCAATAGAATATTAATATTTTAATATGTAACATTGTATTATAATAGATCTTTATGCCTGTGCATAGATTATATCTATTTTTTCATTATTTTTAGACACGACGGCTGCTTACTTCCATTTGCTAAACATATCGAATCCATTCCAGTAATTTGGATAAAAAATCCAGATGAAGAACTATATGCCTTTGAATGTACCAGAGTTGCTCTGCCGATACATAGTGGTGGATTCTGGTCGAGACTCTCAACAAGTTTTGCAGGAAGATCCATATTCTCTACTGTTAAAAATGGCTACCTAACTCCTGCTTTAAAATTAACAACCATACGCCTACCAGATGTTAATTTCGACTTGGATCATCTTTATTCTGATGTCCGTCTAGTACTCTGGGGAGCTGATACAGTGTTGCGTTCCAATTTTGCATTTTTGACACAATTACTCGTAGAGGTTTGTAAATTGCACATTGTTTTTTTTCTATTATCTTACTTGAAATATTTCAACTCATATTTCCAAACTATTTTGAAACTATAATGATTTAATTTAATCTGTTTAAAATTGTTTTAAACAGGTTGGCTGTCATCATTGTAGAGGTGCACATCCTTTATCAAAGGATTTACAAAAATCAATGGTTGAACATAGAATGGGCACTATTGTTGCTCTATTAGATGAGAATTACGAGACTTTGATACAAGAATTGGCAAAGAAATTGCCCAAAGGCAGGGAAGGTCAAGCTGTTGTATGGAAAATTGACAAGGATGATACAAATGTCGCTGTGCCAGAGAATCTTTTTATTCACAGAGATATCGACCGACAAGACCTCATAGGTAAAATATAATTAATTAATTATATTAATCGAAAAATATCCTGTTTTATAAAATATATTATATATTATATTTGATAATATATAAAATATATTATATTTGAGAGAAACATTAACTTTATGTGACATAAAACATTTTAATATTAAAATTTGATTACAAGTTATGAAATAGTATGTACATAATGCTATAATACTTTTTAATGAAATAAATCCTCTTACAGAAACGGTCTTTATTTCTCTCCCACAGCAACATATTTAACAGCAAAAGGAAACAATGAATCCAAACGTTTACTTTAATAGAATACGTGTCTGGCGAAATGCGCGGTCTCCCTAAAGCACCATTGAATTGGACAATCGCACGAGGATAATAGCATGCGAGCACATTCACCTTCCTTTAATACTGACTCCATTGTTTCCAGGTTACAGCCGAACCCGAATAGTATTGAGTCATTGTACCGATACGGAATTCTTGGAAGCTGCCTTTCACGGGACACCCGTGATATGTCTGCCGAGGGACACGCACGAGTCTCTCAATAGTGCCCGCGCAGTCGAGTTGGGCTTTGCACGTTCCACGGAGGACGCTTATGTCTCCGCCGAGGAGATAGCAAACATGGTGCACGAGATACACGAGACAGCCGCTTATCGCGAGAACGCGCGAAAAGTCTCCTTGGCTATACGCGATAGACTCAATCCTGCCTCCGACAGGCTTGTTTATTGGCTGGGTTACATAGCGAGAACGAAAGACGACAGCAGAAAATTTCACAGACCAAAGAGCCATGCGAAGACACTTACAGAGGATATCCAGTTCTTCGTCGGTCTTTTGGTAGGCGTGATCTTCGGGATCGTCTCCACGGGCAGCGCGGTGGTCATGCGATATCTAATTACGGCCAACAAAGTGCAAAAATCAAAGGGGCGATATACACGATGAACGTGACGTCGAGATTTGGCATACAGTTGTGGTTTGTGGACATTTCTGTATATGTATATTTATATAAATGCACGTAGAATACAGGTACATACGAATACAAATATTTTACGAACTAGGATTTACCTAACTAGTTTACGAACTAGTTAGAGCGCGAAGAGATGTTGTTTTATTATTACTATTATTTTTACGAGAATATACTTTCTCATAATACAATTGAGAAAACTACGAATATAATGATGTGATGTATTATCGTGAAGAAAATAAATTACACAGTTTCAATACTGATTTCTGTATGTCGTTGACATGAGCGTTCCTTCGTGTTCACGTTTATCGCTAAATTCTTATAATATTACGGACGAATCGCGATGTCTGCTACACATTGCTTAAGGTCGTATCCTAAACAAATAAATCATAACAGATATATGTAACTTCGCGAAATAAATAATATATTAGTGGCTCATATTCACATGATGTAATATTCACTACGCGATTTTTTTATTATCGAAGTTTCATCTATTAATTAATTAGATTTTTTAAGCAATTTTACATGTATATGTGTAGAAATTTACTAATACATTCTAAATGTATTTGTCCATAACTAAATAATACACCAATGTCGCGTGTAAGGATACCGTATTTGAATATATCATTCTTTTATAATAATATAATAAACTTATTTCAGCAAATTGTTAGAGACGTTGTAGATTCGTAAGTGTATTATTGCATAATCTTTAATAGCTATAAATATAAAATAATAATATAATAATTTATATCTATATTTTCTAAAATAATAATTGCGCGATGCGTTATGCTATTATGATTTGTTTGGCCGAGAAAAATGTATGAAAATTTGCTGTGAACATGTCGTGACAATGTCGACTAATATGAGTTAGAGAATTTGTAAAATGACTAGACTGCCGACATAAATTAACACGGCATACGATAAAACGGTCATTTATATATAAATGTATATGTATATTAAATATATAAAAACAGTAACGGAAGAAGACAAAAGAAGATGACTTATATATTTCATGTGAATCGCGAAGAACGCAAGACGCAATAATTTTTCTAAACGAAGCCGATAATGCTTACATATATATATATACAACGATGATTATATTCGTAGAGTCTAGAAAAAACGGTGAGACATTATTTACATTCATTGGCAAAATTGTTCCCGATTCGTGCGAGTCAAGGCGCGAAAAATTGGGGATAATTTTTGCTTCGCTCGAAGAAGTCGAGGAGACGCTTCCGTATCCCTCGTGATTCGCATCGTTCATTCTCGTGCCTGGCATAGCGATTCTTGCTCTGTATTTGAGCAAAATGAAAATTCTATGCACTAGAGAGCATTGATATATCCTATATAGCATCTATGTTCAAAAGCCATTCACAGGACATCCTGAAGATGTCCAATCGCCCAAAGATGTCTTCTGGATAATTTCTGGACATCTTTTGGATATGCATGCTATGTGGGATATATCTGTGAAACATATCGTTAAGATCTGTATCTCGATATAAATAGGACACTCGCGTAATCCTATGCGTCATCGCGTACGCTAATATGTGCAAGAGCGCGAGAGAAGTAGTTTTCGCGCAATCATAGTTTTTGCTTATATGCTTCTACTCTTTTTCTTTCTTTTCTCGCTCTCTTTCCCCTCGTTGTGTACGGAAACAATAAAATTGGCACATCAAGGTGCGATATGGAGCATTGCGAGATGCGTAAACATGTCACACGGAGAGAAATCTAGATAAAATTTCGATGAAATCATTTATCATTCGTTTCTTGCTAAAAAGAATACGTGTATATTAATTACAGAGAGAGAGATATATATATAGATGTGTAAAATAAATAAATATATATCTATATGTATAAATATATATATATGTATATATAATATATATATTTATACATACATACATATATATTTATTTATTTATTTATTATATATATTTATACGTATATATATATATATATATATATATATATATATATGTATATATATTTATAGTAATTGAAAAAGAGGGATGATAAAAACTTGTGATGTCACACAATACGTTCGCATTGTTATTTCAAAACTCGAATTGTCAGATCACGCGACTCCGATGATGCAAAGCGAGCATGCGTGACATGCGTGTTAATGTGTTCCTGGAATATATAAATCTCTCCTTTGCGGTACGTCCGAGTCGAGATAATATTACGCGATTAAATGTAAATTAAAGTAACACATTGACTTTCAATGCATTAACGTTCGCGTAAGTAATGTGGCACCTGACAGTCAAACCATCATGATAAGCCACGCAACAGCAACTTCGCAAGCATATCGTTACATTAGCCGCACGATAATAATAATACTGAGAATATCTTGATCATTGGGGGACTTTCACTCGAACTTCTTTATAACTTCTTTATAGATAAAAACGTATCGTAGCTGTTGAAAATGATCTTTAAATCGATAGATCATACATATACATATATGGGTAACAATGAAGCAAATATTTTCAGTAGAAAGTATAATCAAAATCTATTTTATAAAAGGATGCGCATGTATCGAATTATAATATACAACTCGTATAATTTGTCAAATATATTTTTTATAGTTTCTTACAGAAGCAAATACTTTAACGTTAAGTTTAAGCGAATTCACTTTCGAAGTATTTGCCTCAATAAGAGCGTACACTGTGCTTTGCTTATGCGATCAATAGCTGAAGGAATCGAACTTACTACTTGATTATATCAGGTGGAAACAGCATCGACATAACATATCGTTGTTTAGCCTCTTTCGGCGTTATTTAACGAGGATATACAACGTAAAGCAACGTGACAACGATTAATTAAGTCAAACTTAAAGAATGAAACATGAGCGCGTTCCTATAAATAGGCCGAACGAACTCCGGAATGCATTTATCGTCTAGTTACACACATGCTCTTCTCGTGTATGTCGACACAACTCGCACTTCACTTGACAGCACCAGACGAATCGACACTTGCATTTCTCGGTGACATCTCGCACTCGCGTCTGGTAGCCTCGGCCGCAGCATAACAGTCGGCATCCGTCAAGACCAAGAGACGTCCGATTGCATACTCTTCCTCGTGTACCGGGAATGCTGAGTCTGAAGAGAGAATAAAATGACATAAATCGCATAATAATAATTTGTAAAGATAGAAGAACAATATAAAGCGGTAGCCATTCTAGCAAGAATCTTCAATTAATTTCAATTAATTCCTTAGACAAAAAGAACTCTTGCATTTTTCAAAATTATTTCATTTGATGAAATAATTAAATTATTTTATATGATGAAATAATATAATAGAATGAGATTTAAATATATGATTATATTTTCTACTTATATATTACTTTATATATTTTCTTCTAAAATTTTATTGTATATTTTTTGTGGTTTATAAATATACTAATATATTAATAAAAAATGCTTAATACAATATGCTCTGTACGATTTCTTCCAGCTAAAATATACATTTAACTTTTGCGTTTTTTTGAAATTGTAAAATTCGTATAATATATAATAGTTAATCATGTAATAATTACTGATGCAAATAATATTACTAGAAATTTCAACATAACTGTAACTGGCAATGTGTTTTTACACAGCACGAATTCAACTCACGTAATATTTCTTTCACAGTAATCAGGACTGTCCTCGAGATAAACTAAATCCGTTTTGTTTGGTCGTTTAAGATCAGGACGCGCTGGTCTGAGTCTGGGTGCTCTTCTTCCACCGCGTTGAGCCAATCGTACCAGAGCGGCACCCTCGTGTAAGGCTGCCAGAGCGACTCCGGCCATCCTGAATGCCGGAAGTCTTCTCCAGCACACACGCACGCTACACGAACCGGACATACCTGTCACAAAAAGGAGAAAAGGAAAAAAAATTAATGGAGCTAATCGATAGATGAAGAAAGAAAGGTATAAAAAAGTCGCGGAGCGCACTGAAATTATATCTGTTATGTAAAAAAATTATGATACATTATGTTTGTTAAGGTACAATCATCCAAGGATATACACAGAAGACATTCTTATTAATGTCTCGTTACCTACCGTGACATTTGCATACACGTTGCATCCTAGAGCGAATTGCACGTCTACCAGCCTCGCTATCGTGTTTCCTCATCAACTGACCAGCCAGCCCCTTCGGTCCATGCAGAACACCTTCCTTCACCGGTTCTTCTCCACTATCGGACCAGTCTCGCGAAAACTTTTCACCAAAGTGTATATCCTACGAATAATATATTTTCCTAAACAATTTTTATTTACAAATTTAACGGTAAAACATATTGACAAAATTATTTAACAAATATCTAAAAAGGAAAAACGTTTCTTAAAAACGTCCTTCCAAAATTTCTTTAACGGTACAAACATACTGACAAAACATATGGTCAAAGTCATTTAACAAACAGCTGAAAAAGAAAAACGTTTCTTAAAAACGTCCTTCCAAAATGTCTCTATTATCTGAGTTTCCTTCATTGTACGACTTTAGTAATGAGCCAACAATAGCCATGGAGATTAAGAGAGTAGAGTCTAAACTTGCGAGGATTTCACATAGAATATACTAGTTAAAGACCTTCAGCTTTATAACTTCAGGAACAGCTTTATAGCATGATATTCATGGTAACAAATGTGTAATACGTGATAAAAGTTTCGTAACATTGAGTTAAATAAATGTACACCATCATTCAAAACTTTATATTACACGATATAAAATTTTATAGTATTTTAGTTAAATTATATCCTTAAATTATATGGTCCTCTTTTAAAAAGAGATACTACTACTCTTAAATATATTATCTTAAATATATTAATATTTCATATTAAATATATTAATATTTCGAGTATATGTGTACTTTATATGTTTCTTTCGGATGTTTTCCGATAAATGTCAACAAGCTGAGATTATACTGTGCCCTCTTTACTTTCGCTGTCAGATGCTGTCTAAACGTAATCCCTTCCGTGAGCAACGTCACTCTCCCTCTTTCAAACGGCACCACACACGTCGACTTACCGATGACAGCCTTCTATAGTCAAGTCACTGAGTAAGAGCGATTTAACTGATACTTATTTTTATAAATAAATACTACGTTTAAATTCGCGTTTTATTTCGAGATTGCACAAAAAATATTTCAATATTTTATTATTGTATATATCGAAAAATTTTGAATTACGTGAAAGGAACTATTGCTTATATATTATCTGAATCATTTCTAATATTTATTAAAACAATATTCTGAATTGTATTTCTATATCAAATAATTTACGCGACGGTTTTGATGATTTAAAAATCGCGGCGTCGAAACTTCAAGTCGTTCATGCATACGTCACGCGATAAAGGCGATACGATTGGCTTGCTGCTTCGATATCTCGAGAGAAGCAATTGCGATTCTCGAATCACCACCAGTAGTAATAACGCGCGGCGACCAACTCGATCACGCTCCGTATTTATCGCGATTGTTAATTGTGTTTAAATGAATTTTCCGTGCGAAAGATTCTCGCGAGTGCCTCGTCAAATGCCGGAGGACATTTTGTCGTGACGGAATTAAGTTTTGTGATTGCTGTTACAAGACATTTTGTGTAATTTCAACATCGACAATCCACTTCTGGGTGCCAAAGATGAGCCTGCTTAGCCGTTATTTCCTCGTCGTAGGGCAACAGTATCAAGTATGCACATATTTCGTTTTCTAATTAATTAAAAAACATGCATTTATTTTCCAATTAATTGCGATATCATTTATGATTAAAAATAATACTGTTGAAGTACCAGTAATAATTTTATAGATTTGATAAATAGCAGAATATGAATCTTTATGTCTTACGTCACTGTCGGATATTATATATTTCTCAGGATTATTCGAAATTAAAATATAATGTATTTAAAAAAATTGTTATCTAATCACGCGTGAAAATTAAAGTGTAAGATAAAGAAATTGTAGAGAAATCGGATATATCCTAACGATTAATAAATGTATTTTGTATCTTTGTCATACTCCGTTAAATCTAAACCGTTATATTTGAAATAATTTTCGCGGTGTTACCGACAATCGATTATAAAAAATTTTTATCCTCGAGCTCAATAGATAATTATAAAAATTTCGCCGATCTCGGTCGATAGGCCAGTTAAAGGAAACCATGACTGTTGATTGTGTCAAGTATAGCGAGAGTGTAAACATCATTATCTCTGAGAATCTGTCATTAGTTATCCTTGGCATTTGTTCACCGAACTTAGCCTTGTTAAGATATATCCGATTTCCCCGCAATTCTTTCACCTTTTCTTACACCTTAATTTTCGCGCGCGTGATTAGATAACTTTTTTAACGTAAGCTTCTCATCATGTGATGTTTCCTTGAAATAGATGTTAAAATAGGAGAAGCAACATGACAATTAAAATGGAAAAAGTAATTGTTGAAAATAATTATTTTTCGCGAAATTATTTTTCTCTTGCAACACGAAATTCGAATTAATTAAATTAAAACTTCCACGACTGGCATAAAGATATAAAAAAAGTGTTAATTATCGCATATTAAATTCATATATAAATGCATGTCACTCAAGTTTGATGCGTCATAAAGTTATGCTAACATTTCTTATGGAAACACTATTATTAATTTGCAAAATCAAAAATGATAAAGTTTAATAATGACGCTTCTAACATTTCTTATGCGACTAGTATTATAAATTCGCAATTAAAATAACTGTGACTCATTTTTATATATTCGAAACGTAAAATGCACACAATTTAAAGATATTCCAATTCGTGAGTGCTCTGATTATGTGATAGTATACACGTATACATGTAATTATCTCTGCACGTGTCGCACACGTGTATGTGTACGCGACTCGTCCTCAAGTAAGTTACGTGTCCGGATCGTAAGGGGAAAGAGCGGTGTGGGTTGTTGCAACTTAACAAGCTTAGCTCCCTTAATCCCCTTGTAAGCCGGCAATGTCTACAAGGGGTCAGCCGTTCGCATGAAACGCATCCGTTTACTGTGCCCGAGCTTTGTCTTCAAGCTAATAGCATTAAAATTCGCGTCGAAAGAAACGCCGGTGAAAGACGACAAAGAAAGAGAGAGAGAACGTCGGAAAATCATCGATGCGCGCGGTCTTAATCATTTGTAGCGCAATCTTGACACGAATATACCATATTAATCATAAATCAAAATATGTAAAAAATGATAGTACTTAATATTAAATTCATAATATTAAACATAATATTAAATAATAAGTACATAATATTAAATAATAAGTCAAAATTTCTTATATAAAAGAGGGTCTAAATTTTGAAGTAATAATGTGAGTGAAATATATATCTAATAAACAAATATAATAGATAATTAGATCTCTAATATAAATCCAAAATATGCAAAACAGTCTCATAAAATTCAATAGATTTTCTTCAAAAGAGTTCAATTATTATTATATACGGTGAAGAAAAAAAAAGATTCATGAATGATTAGACAAGCCATGGATAAAGACTTAATATTAAATTTTTTTAATATTAATTTTAAATAATAAATTTTTAATATTAAAAAATAAGTCAAAATTTCTTATATAAAAGAGGGTCTAAATTTTGAAGTAATAATGTGAGTGAAATATATATCTAATAAACAAATATAATAAATAATTAGATCTCTAATATAATCCAAAATATGCAAAACGGTCTCATAAAATTCGATAGATTTTCTTCGAAAGAGTTCAATTATTATTATATACGGCGAAGAAAAAAAAAAGATCCATCAATGATTAGACAAGCCATGGATAAAGAAACATGATAAATGTGTGAAAAAATATAGCACTCTCACCTCGCTGCATCCTCCCCATTGCCAATTACTCGGACGTCGTGATCGCACTCGATTGTCGCAGGAGCAATCGGTGAGCTCGCCTCTGGAACAAGCTCTCGTGACACTGTAAGCGACCCCGGCTGCTGATATGGCATATATGAATGCGGCCTCTCGACTATCTGCGAAACGTACGCATCTTTTTGTATCACACGCTACATAAGCCAAGGCACTCGTGGAGGCACTTGATGTTGCGAGCATTGGCGCAAGTAACTCTAAGAAGCGAACATTCGACACGCGGTGGCCCGTCAAGCATCGAACCACATCGTGAGTACTTACTGACTAACGTGACGCCGCCAAACACGTTCTCGGGATTTTCCGGGCTGACGGAACAGTTCCATCTCGCTGATCTAAACTGGTGCTGACACTCCTCTATAGCGAGCCTAGCGCCCGCACTGACTGCCTGTAAGACGGTGAAAGCTATAAGAATATCAAAAGAAACGCCGCTTTCGGATATTTAAAAAAGAAACGTTTACTTTACCATATCAAACAAGCCAATTTTTAAACAACTTTTTTCAATCTTACGTCTGTAATTCTATAAAAAATTGATCGATCATATAATTTTATAAATAAAAAATTTATTAAAAATCAACATCAAAATTGAGAAATATAGTGGTACATGAAAAAATTAGTTAATTATTGATATGAAAAAATTAATTTATTATTTAATTAAATTTCTCCATTAAAGAAATATATCCGTTGGCTTTTTATTAATAAAACTTTTATCAGCTGAATACTTTTTTTTATTTTACAGCGAGAATAATTAATAGTATAAAAAGTATATTATTACTGAAAATTGCTATTTAATGATTGACTGTATATCATGAAATTAATATACACTTTGCTGGCTTGCAGTTTTAGTTAAAGAACCTGCAAAAACACACGTGACATGATTTTAATGTCCATATAAATCGCGGCCAGTATCATCTAACAATAATTAACGATATCAACGAACATTCCGTAAAGTACATCGATGTAAAGTTTGACCGCCTCTTAACGGGTTTGATCGCTCGTTAAAAAATTAAACTTCGACAGTCGAATTGACATATGAATATTCATGTTCGGCCCTTTCGTCGGCAAAGCTAGACTCGGAAAGGACCGCGCTGTCGGCAGCGTTCAAAGAAATATATCGTGCTTCAGGTTTACCTAGGTACACCTAGATAGATTTCTGGACGACCCGCTTCCCCTCTTTTCTCTTCCTTCACCCCCGACATGTTTTGTGCATTAGGGAAAGGTAAATGCGATTTCGGGGCTACGTGAACGTTCGTTCGGTCCGCTCGTTTTGTCACGATCAGTGCCGAAACTAAACCGCACTATTACCACCGATCGAAAGACAAATTTGTTCCGCTTAAGAAGTTTGTACCTAGCTATCCCTGTCGTGAATAAAATGGTAATGCTTTGTATTCTTGGAAACCGCATAATATATATCCCGTTGCGAGACCCAGTAGTTTTCTCTCCATCCGCATTATGCGGAATCAATTAAATTTACAAAATGCATTGTTTAAGTAGGCAGAAATATGTTTAAAAGTACACTAATCGTTATTTAATTATCTTCGTTCTTTGTAATTTCTCAACAAAGGGTTTTAGAAATCTGTATAACAATATTAACCCTCGTCAATGAAAAAATAAAGTATTTTCAATATCATGTTAAAGTGTATCTAAACAAATTTTATAAAATATGTTTATTTTAACTGTAAAATCGAGAAAATTGCAAAAGATATTGAAATAGAAAAACAACAATGGCTTTCTAAATAACCGTGCACGATGGTCGAGGTTGAATCTCGAAAAACGCATTGTTTGAGTAGGCAAAAACATTTGAGATACACTAATCGTTTATTAATTGCTTAAGTCTTTTCTTTATAATTTCAACAAAGAGTTTATAACAGTCTAGTCAATGAAAAAATAGTTTTATTATTTTTGTACATTGTCTTAAATTTTATTGAAAATTTTTTTATAAAATATGTTTATTTTAACTGTAAAATCGAGATGGAAAATTGCAAAAGATATTGAAATAGAAAAACAACAATGGCTTTCTAAATAACCATGCACGATGGTCGAAATTCAATCTCGAAAAACGCATTGTTTGAGTAGACAAAAATATATTTGTGAAAGTACACTACTAATCGTTGTTTAATTCTTTTCGTTTTCTTTTGTTCTTTGTTATTTCAACAAAAAATTTATAACAGCCTAGTCAAAAACTAAAATATTTTTTAACATTATATTAAATTTTATCTCAACTATTTTTTTATAAGATACGTTTATTTTAATTGTAAAACGAGATAGAAAATTGCAAAAGATATTGAAATAAAAGAACAATAACGGATTTCTGTAAATAATCGTGCACGATGATCAAGATTTAATCTTAATGCATTATCTAAAATAAAAAATGTGTTTATATCTTTATACTTCTTTTCACAGCTTTTTCCCCAAATTCAGATTTGTGTACTTTTGCAAAAAATAAAACTTTTAAAAATCTTTTTCGTCAATAAAAAGACACGTGCCTATTCGTTTAAATAAAAATTGTACACAATGTTAAAAAATATCTTGTTTTTCGATTCGTCAGATCTTTACAACTGTCTTAATTCATTTACAATAGTGATAATTAAAAATAATCATTAACAGGAAAATCCGGAATCCCTAGTAGCGACTCGGTAATTTACACACACAGGAGTTAAATTCAAGCTTGATAAATTATCGGAAAGGAAATTATCGCTGCACGCGGCAGGAAACCTATAATTTTCTCATGATTTCTCTTAGAAATGCCTACTAATGCCCGCTAATCATGACACACATTAATCTATTTATTACGAAGAAGTGAAACTATCTACCAAAAGCTTTCTCGGAAGCGATTCGAAAAATTTCGATCGGTCGACGAAGGCCGGCGATACATTCGTTCGGCACGCGGTCGGTCGTAGGTCCCGCGAATCGAATTAGCCGCGTGCTTCCCCGGGCATTAATCCGAGAAAGAGAGAGAGAGAGAGAGAGAAAGAGAGAAAGAAAGAAAGAAAAAAAAAGGCAGCGAGACCCTTCGGCCCGCGACGAGGTAAATACCTGCAGGACGGGTGGCGAGCGGGAGCATATTGCCTGCTGCTTGGCGGTCAGGTGCGCGTTCTTACAGTTCTTTTCGGCACTCGCTGGACCGATCACACCCGCGCCGGCGATCTGCGTCTGCGGGTCGACGCCGCTCCCTTGGTTCGAGCCGGATGTCAGCCTCGGCTCCAGCCCCAAGTACCTATAAAAGCCAAAACACGCGCATCTTGAAATGATATAATGACTCGACTATACATATATATATACTATATCGAATGATTAATTTAATTAATTTTCGCTTCATCGCACACGAGCTAGGTGCGCCGCTAAATAGTGGGTCATCGCGAATGGATGGCGTATCGAAGCTATGCGTACCTCTTTCCAACGATATTTCGTTCGAAACGGATACTATTAGTTTTTCAATTAGTCATGGTTATATAATTATTAACTATTAATCATGACTGTACCTATATAATTATTGATCGAGAAGCAGAAATCGATAGTCATACTCGATCAATTATATTCGCTGGGAATTTACGCGCGGCAATTTTAGCGCGTGGTGCGTTGAAACGCGCGATCTACGACGACGGCGTCTTTCGTCGCGAACGCTTTGGCGCTTACCACCTCTGATTTTGATGCCAGACCAACCGTCCGGATCCAAGGTAAGCCGGCGCCGTCCGTTATCGAGAGAACTCGGTGGCCGACGCGCCGTGGATCATCTTACGGGACACGATAAAATATCTTACAACGATATATACACGCCGGAATGGAGAACCGCGCGCGCGAGCTACCGACACTACGAGAAGATACTCTCCTCCGTGACGAACCACCTATAATTAGAGCAGGTATTCGGGTGAAAATTATAGAGGGGGAGAGGGTCCGAGAGGATGAGACACGGGGGGTGAAATGCGGCCAGGAGGGGACGGGAGGGAACGCGGGATACGGGGAGGACGAGAGAAGCCGTAGCCTCGTCGTGAACAAAGTCGGAAGGAAAGCCAAGCAAGTGAGTCAGACTCTTCAACCAAACTCTCTCAAACTATTGGTAATTTTATTTTAATCTGCTTTTAAAGATCCTTTATTTTTATTTCTTTGATTAATCGACAGATCCCAATTCACATATTTACCTATAAATATTTAATATAAATAAACCTATAAATATTTAATATAAATAATGCTTTTCAATTTTAATATAAATAAGAGAAGAAGATATTTATCTATTAAATTATATTATTTTTATTAATGAAATGTCACGAATAAAATATAAAAATATATAATATAAAATTGATTTTTAAAATCGAGTAGTTTTTTACTCTAAACTTATGGTAGAATTTTCTGTGAATTATGTAAACTTTGACAAGATGAGAAGATAATAAGACTGTATTCTTTAATAATTTCAGCAGAATTTTATTTTGATAGGATTTTAACTCTGTATCCAGAATTATTTTATATGTAAATCATTTTGTCGACTGAGACTCTATAATTTAACAATTTATTCGATTCTTTTAATTTTTAACGTGTGAGTTTAATGCGTAATCGTTAACCCGAGCTCAAATTAATTTACCGATAATTGTGTCGGTACCTAATAGCAATTTCATGAAATGCAAATCGACAACTGTCTCGACTTGCTTGGTACCCTTAAACGCTAGGCGATCTCGTTCTCTTAAAAGCCTCGAAGCGTCGGCTTCACAATGTTTTCAATTCTTTCGGCTCGAGGGGTTCGATTAGTAGCACCGTACAGACACGGACAACGCTCGTTTACATGGTAAATCTTAATGAGAATCGAGGGTGTGGTTTTAGGGCTCGGAAGCGCTCCCAGCTGCCCTTAGGATACTAACGGGAAACAGACGGTGGTCATGGTGTATCGATATGAGAGAGCGAGGGTCGTTCGAAAAGTGGCTAAAATGCATTCGCTATTTGAATAATTAACATTAATGATACTCGCAATAACTATAAATCTAATCATGTCCAATCATAATCTTTTTTACTTTTTCGCGAGACATTATAGTATAAAATCATATCATTTCTTTCTTTAATTACGAATATCTCTGCAGGAAATTGACTGAAAAATATGTATCAAATTTATTTATCATTCAATATTTTTTATCATTATATAATAATTGAATGAAAAATACATATTAAATTTTTTATCTCAAAAGTGTTTCGAATCAGATTCGACGTTAAAAAAAGAAATGTAAATTATTATTATTTAAAACGATATAAATTATTATTATTTAAAATATTATTATTTTTTTTAAAATGATATAAATTATTATTATTCAAAGTGACATTTTAAAGAAAAAAAATAGCAATCATAAATTCCAAATTATATCTTCGATAAAGGCACGAGTGTTTAGAAGAAACATGTAAGCACTTATTCGCGAACCGGATACTTTTGTTCGCGTCCGTTTTCCAAAGCACCCGTCAGTCGTAAAGGAGTCGATGATAGTTTTGGTCCAAGTCGCAGCTTTTGACTAGGGACCACGACGCTAGCGATGTAACGTTTATTATTTATTTGCGGCCGAGAATACAGACGCGGTGCCGGCTGATGCCGGCATCAGCAGTCAGCGAGACTCGTCAAGACTCCGGAGTCGACCCGCTATTTCAGGTTTGTTTGGATACGGTTTACGACCCTTCCGAGAGCGCGTTTTACGGATACTCAGCGGCGAGAGATCCTCCTCCGCCTCCCCTCGTCCCCCTTTTCGTTTCGGTATGTTATCTTGTGTACTCGGAGATGTCGTGGCACTCCTCGTAACCGGGATTACTCTCCGCGAGAGATCGAAACATTCCTAACAGACGCGTTCGATCTTCACGACGAGTCGATGAAGTAACCCGAACGCGCGGCGTTTCTGCGGCTGCATCGCGAGAAACGGTGTTTACGATAAGGATGAGCCTCTCGTCAAACAGTCGATCTCTCCGATCGAAACAGTCTCGTCCGAGATATTGCCGTCAAGATAAAGAGAAGCGGACGCTATTTCCCATAATGCTCGCGAAGCGCTCGACATCCGACACTCGACGATACTCTTGTTCTGGTAAAAATGCCGGGTACAAATCTCCATCTCGAACATATCTGACTTATATTTAAAACGAAATATTAAATATAAAAATATAAAAATCAAAGTTAAATATAAAAATAATAAATATTAAATATAAGTTATAAATAGTTATAAATATATAAAAGTTAAATATAAAAATATAAAAATAAAAGTATCTTTCAGAGAGTTTATTGTTATATACGATAGATATCGTGTCTCTTAAAACGCCTTAAATATATCATGGAGCGATATATTATCGTCGTCAATTTTTAACCACTTGGCTTGCTTCAAATACTTTAGGCTTATCTTCGGTTTTGTAGCGACCGCTTTAAAATTTTGATGCTTTCAAGGCGCTAGATTCTTCAATTCTCAGAAAGTCCCGCTTTAAAACAATCTATATCGACGATGGTAATCGACAGCATTGTAAGCGGAAGCGACTGATTGTTCAGATAACCGATATAGTTTTGCGGCGAGCACTCACAAAATCGATATCGGCTGATCGGTTAAAGCGGTCAAGGACGTAACAGCCGGGAAACGAACGATGGGGAGGGACCATCGCTTTCTGCTTATAATCTTTTGTCCCTACAAGAATTGACTCACACACACTGATTGAAAAAGATGGAAATTTTGTTCGATACAGCCAACATTTTACAAATTTTTTAAAATACACCCAGCAAAAAAATATATTTATATTCTTTATTTGTCAAATCCTTTTTATCCTAATAAATTCTAAAATTTTTATATTATAATCTCTCGTTGTATAAATATCCAAAATTTTTACAAGCTTTAAGAAATTCTTGTATAACTTTGAACATATTATATTTCATTGCAAAATTATATCGAGAGAATATCATTCCTGAAAATACGCGTGTCGAATAATTTGTTCATCACTTGATTTTGTCAAAAAACTTGTTTTTAAAAGCCAATATTTTCATCATAAAATATATTTAAAAAAAACCTATTCCGAGTGAAAAGGGATAACGCGCTCATCGTAAAAGAGACAAGCCCGCATTGAAAGGAGAGGGGGAGGCAAGAATGATAAAAGGGCAAGCAGAGGCAAAATAATTGCACAAAGCGCCGATATGAAAGAAATAAAATCCATATTCAGGTTCGCAGGCACAGGATGTATCCGGTACACCCGCGAAGGAGAGAACCATCGAGCGGTCTTCTCCTCTCCTCTATTCATGTGCCCGAAACGAAAGGCGAGCTTAGAGACGGAAGGGGGGACGAGGCGATCCCGCGGTTCAACAACGACGAAACAACTGCGATTATTATATTATTACTCGAAAGCGCGGTATCGCGTTGCCGTCATAACCACGTCGGGGCCGTCCTTTGTTCGTGTGACAGTGATAGGGCCCATTTATGTCGAGAACACTCACTCACAGCCGCCGATATAATGGCCGGATAAATTCTACGAAAGCCTACAATACGTCGTAGGTACGTCTCGTCGTCATATTAACCCCCTTCCTCCCCTTCCCCCTCGCGGAAGAACGACGGGAACGGAGGGATATGCGTCAGGGTGAACGCGAGCGCGAATCATTGAAGCGAGCGCCGGTACACGATCCGAAACTTTGCCTCATTCTAATTAGTATCGATTACCGAAAGGAGAGTCCCTCGTGCGTACACGCACTCCTCGATCTCACCCTCGCTGTGTAACAGCAACGAGCGAGGGGAACAGGCGGCATACGTGTGTATATTCGCTCGAGGATATTTGCCCGCGGTAATTTTTCGACCGCGTCAACGGATTGACTTGACCTCCGCAGACTGCGGTACAGCTAATGCGAGGGGGTACAAGGGATAACGAAAGGAAACCTATCGCTCCCTCGGGCTAAGAGAGCACTAATTAGAGCGGTTAAGATAGGAATGCCGTGGTGCGTGTGTCTACAAAGATTTTTTTTTATAGCAAAGAACATTTGGTAGTGAATTTGGACATGTATTTTTAATATTCTTTCTTAGAAGAAATATAGAATTATGAATTGCTTTTTATGAATTCATTTTAAAATTATCTCACACGTTCACACAAATTTAAATTAGAATGAAATTAAACCTTGTTTTCTACGGAAATTTTAATTATATTTAAATGGAATAATTTTGAGTAAATTTTGAATATTATTTGGCTCTTACTGCCGTTGTTCCTTTGTATTTATGTTTAAATTTTTAGAGCCATATA